ACACCCTATAATGCATGGGTATGGCAGAAGTAGAATTCTTGGCCACAGATGACGTAACTTTAAAACAAGAACAATTGCAATCATTGCCTTAATGGCCTGCGCAACAACATTAGTTCTCCAGTGGCAACGCTGTGACGCAATAGCTTATTTTCGTGAAACTCTAAGGATGATTAGCCACTCAGTGTTTATTCAAAAATAGAAAAGAGTAAAATTTAGTTTAAATATTTGAATTTGTTAAAAACATTTCTGCAGTTACAATCTAGCAAGGTCTTTGGGCTATCCATAATTCAAATATGTCACATTCTTTTTTGTCTCAATATTTTTAGCATCCCCCTTTTGACACAAAGAGTCATACTTCACTGTACTTCTTTTATCACATGCCACTCTATAGGACATTAGCATTCTTATGAATATATAAAATTAAAAAAAATAGTAATGCATGGAGCTTGCAGTTCAGAAAAAAAGTACTACGTTACAGATCGTATTTCAAATTTTATTTTAAAATGCTTTTTTTTAATAACATTTTGTGATCGTAGCATTGAAACGATATCAAATATTTTTTTTTCTTTTTGCTTGACTCTTCCCCCTCATGTCACATTTTCAGAAACCCCCCTATCCCCTTGTCATATGTCACTTTATATTATGTAAACAAAAATATTGTCTGAAGCTCAAAATATTGTCTGAAGTTTTAAAATGATTGAAATTTTAACAGAATTACTTTTAAATTTGAAATTACACCGCCGGACGAGTGGCCATTATTTCTTTATTACAATGTTTAAATATGACTGATATTTTAACAGAATTACTTTTAAATTTAAAAATACACCGCCGGACGAGTGGCAATAATTTCTTTATTGCAATGTTTTAAAATGACTGATATTTTAACAGAATTACTTTTAACTTTAAAACTACACCGCCGGACGAGTGGCATTAATTTCTTTATTACAATGTTTAAAAATGACTGAAATTTTTACAGAATTACTTTTAAATTTAAAAATACACCGCCGGACGAGTGGCTATAATTTCTTTATTACAATGTTTTAAAATCACTGAAATTTTAACAGAATTACTTTTAACTTTAAAACTACACCGCTGGACGAGTGGCAATAACTTCTTTATTGCAATGTTTTAAAATGATTGACATTTTAACAGAATTACTTTTAAATTTAAAACTACACCGCGGCGAGTGGCCATAATTTCTTTATTACATTGTCTAAAAATGACTGAAATCTTAACAGAATTACTTTTAAATTTAAAAATACTCCGTTTGACGGGTGGCAACCAATTCTTAATAAAACTATATTAAAATTTTAATAGAACTACTTTCAAATGTTTCTCTGTTATCGTCATCTTATTGATTTCAGTGCTAAATATTTCCGAAAGCATTTTAGCAATTCCAGTAGTTTGCAAAGTCTCAAAATAGGTATCAGTAGATCATGTAGGCAATCTACACATTATGATTCGTTTAAATTATTTGCATCGAGGAATGGTTGACGTTATAAAGAAGAAAAATTTCTTTAAAATAAAACATGATAACAGCCGTATTTGAAAAGATTTTTTTTACTTTGCACTTTTAGCAACAGATTTTCCATTAAAATTTGCATAATTTTCTATTTTTAACAATAAATGCATACTTAAAGTGTTTATTTTGTGGAAGTCACAGGTATATAAATTTTCTCTATCATACAAAACTTTATACTTTTAAATAAAAAAAAAAGCAATATGTCTTAAAATTTTGGACCGCTGTTAGAAAGCTACTAGAAAGTTTAATATTTAATAAGTTGTCTTCTTTTACTCATCTAAAATAAATATTCGGACTCCAATTTCATTGAAAAACAAAATTTTTTTTACATAAATAATTACTTTAAATAATTCTATTGTCATACCTTAATCCAACTGCTTTAATTAGTAAAACGAGACAAATTGTAGCCTATAGCTCACACGCAATTAAATAAATGGAATTTACCTACTTTTATTATAACACCAATCCCTGCTAACATTTAAAAATGCTATAAAAGATATCATTTTTTAAAAATAAAAATAGTAATAAAAATAAAATAATAATTTTAACTGTGCAGGGACTTAATATTTTTAAAAGAACTTTCGTATAATGCTTAAATTATTTATATGAAGTGGTGGTCAAAATCATTTATGAATCATCTTTATTAAGTAAGTATCAAAAGACTACAAAAGGTAAATATAAGGAAAACAAATAAATAAACAGAACATTGTTTTTATTAGGTCTGCAAGGACGCCAATGCTACTAGTATTTGAGGAAAGTCTGCTTTCAGCTCTGCAGAGAAAAAAAAACATAGGTCGACAAACAGCAATCATATCTGGCAAATTTTTTAAATTGTAAGTTAATATTCGCTCGTCGGAAAAAATTTAAACTTAAAAAAAAATTGTAGCTATATTGTTTGAATTTTATATTTTAAGCCGATGGACGCACTTTTTTTGTCAAATTGAGAAATTAGCATTTTGCCGAACATAATTCTTCACTTAAAAAAAAAAAAGAATCATATAGAGAAATTTTAGAAGTCTATATTTATTTACAATACATATTAACATCCGAGTCCCCTGATTAAAATAATCCTTTTTTTGGTCGTAAAATTAAACTATATAACAATTTAAAAAAAATAGAATTTTACAATTTAATGGGCGTAACCATTTCGAAGTTTGTATAAAACGGGGTATGATATCTTTAGAAAGAATACGCGGTTGCCAAAAATATGATTTTATTTACAAAACTGAACTATCACGAGACACAGAAGAGAATATTGAATTTAATATTTAAATTATTCTAAAGTCATCAATCGATGCATACAAAAGTAAAATTTTCATATCAAAATGTTCTTTAAACGTTTCGTTAAATGCAAGCGAAATTTAAAATCTTTTTATTATCGAATAATTTTTGCGTTATGAGAACGAGACGTGAGGAAAATTCCTGAAAGAGCGGTGAATGCGTAATTTTTTATTACAGAACTAATTTTTAAGCTTGCAATGTATGGTAAATTGCACCACAGAGTACTAAATACATCGATCACAGAAAAAAATGCGATCTTAAATTTACATTAAAAAGTTGTTGTAGTTAATTAACGTCACACTAGAGCTGCACAATGGGCTATTAGCGACGGTCTGGGAAACATCCCTGAGGATGATCCGAAGACATGCCATCACAATTTTGATCCTCTGCAGAGGGGATGGCACTCCCGTTTCGGTAGCGCGGCGACCTGCACGCGAAGTCGAGCACTTTACGGTAGAACAGTTTAACGAGGACCAATACCGAGGCACCCTCGGTCCCTACGCTGACTAATCCGAGTGGTCACCCACCCGCACACTGCCTGCAACCAGTGATGCTTGACTTCGGTGATCTACCTGGAACCTACATTAAAAATAATTTGCATATTATGGTATAATAATCTGTGATTATAACATCTCAAAAACATACTTCAAAAAATGACGCGAGAAAAAAATGATAAAGTATAAAATACGTTTTAATATAAATGTTTTGAATTCATTTGTTTGAGCCCCCAGTCGGGGAAGACTTGACTTCCTGCCAGGCAAAGTCTGGCGTCATTCTTGAATATGTTAACTAAGAAGTGCGAGCCGTGGTGGCTCTCACTTTTTAGGCATTTATATACTACTAGCGTTTAAAGGGCAATGAGAGAAGTCACACAAAACATAAACCCAGCCATTGATTCAGTCTGATTTTTTACAGTCTTGATCTACAAGAGCCGCTGTGACTCAAGGAATAGAGCGCTCGCCTCCCAATGAAGTGACCTAGGTTCGATTCCAGCGTTGGCTGGTTGATTCGAATTCTGCTCGCGGCTTGCACCCACCACAATGCGGAAGCAAAAGATCACCAATGGCAGACGGATCATGGATTAGAGTTCCCTTGCCTCCAGGCTAACAGAGGGAGGTTTTCCACTGCACGTAACGCAGATGCGGGTTAGTTCCATTAATATTATTTTAAGATCTCTGATTTTTAAGAAAATATTATGCAGATATATATTTGTTTCTTGTTTGTTTAAAATCGAAATATAGTTTGCACGCGAAAGGATTTGTACACTAAAAATTGTTTGATTATTATTCATGATAATTCAATTACCTTACTTGATCTTTTTTTTACATTCACAATGTAATTCTTCATTGTCATCACCCTGATCGTCACAATAGCTGTTGCGGATAGCGGCGTCGTTTTGGAGGACGAAACCCTCCTCGAAATGAACATTACTTGACTAATGATTTATTGTGTGGTGAGTAGGATGTAGATAGTTAAGTTTTCATTATTCATTTAAACGTTTAGACATTTATATATATACATTAGAAGGAGGTAACCAATAACCCCCCTTGAACATACATTAAAACTACGTCACTGGTTGCGCTAGTGCTTAACTTTTTAAGAGTTAAATGTGAACAATCCATAAACTAGACTTACTGTTTTTACATATAGCACCTTTTAATTACTTTTCAGGAACTAAAAAATATTTTTAAGCACTAAGCACATAAACAAAATATTTTTTAAAGACTTTACATGATCATGATAATATAACTAGTTTCTGACAAAGAGCTCTTTTTTTTTATTACATTAGCCATCATAAAAAGAAAGAGAGATTTTTCAGTTCAATATCAGAGGGAGAAAAATGAAGTCAGAAATTGCGAATCTCTTGCAAAATGCAGCGGAGTTGCACACAATTCCCACTGAATCCAGGTCAGTATATGCCGATGCGGGATACGCTACGAAACGACAGTAAGCCGAAATGCTTGAATGATTTGTGAAAAATTTGAATAGAACAATGTGAAAGCCACGCTTTTGCATAATACGTGACGAAAATCGTCATAGTAGAGAAAAAAATCTCATTTTCGAAAAGGGAGAATTAAGCGCTTTTTAAACGAAAACGCTACGCACCCTGATAAATTAAAGAAAAGGAATCATCCTTACTTTTTAAAGGTAGTGTTAGTGTCAGATAATTAGATGAAATAATGAACAAATAAAAAGATTGAATATAAATAGATAGCTTTATTAAACAATAAAATAAATAGCTCTATCAAATGAAAACGCCTGGCTATAAAAAATTTATTTATTTTATATCATTCAATGTACAGAAGGGTCAGTCTCAGATATGGAAGACTTTTTATACGTAACGGCTACCTCTTTGATTTTCGACATTTTCTCAACTAAAGTAGTTTCGATCGTTTTCTTCTCTTCTTCATCGTCACTGGGTGTCAGTTTCTTTATGACGAGTTCTGAAATAAGGGAAAAAAAAGATATATAACTAGAGAGAACACTTTCATACACTTTTCTATAATCATAAGTTTTTCTAGAATCATTAGTCATTTACATACCCACAGAGTAATTACTGTATGACAACAAGATTTTTTAAACCAGTAAGTATATTTATTATGTAACAGGGTGCGTAGCCCAATCTTTCAACAAAAAAAATGAACCTTTTTAAGTACTTTTTAAGCACTCAAAAAATATTTTTAAGGACTATACAACACTAACAAAATGCAAAATAATTTTCAAAGACTTTACATGATCACGATCAAATAACTAATTTTTAATTCAAATAATTGTTTTCTTGATTATATTAGCCATTAGAAAATGACCGAGAAATTTTTCGGTTCGATATCTGAAAATGAAGCCTGAAATTGAGAATATCGAGCAAAATGCAGCAGAATTGAAACATATGAGCGCGACAATCTCACGAAACACAGCTCAGTGGACGCACATGCGGACATGCAAGTATTTCATCAAACATGCAAAATGATCGGCCCTTTCATACGCTATGGACCGACGGCACGTTGAAATAGATTGTGGTTGAAGGGATTGGATAAATTTTGAAAAGAACAATTTAAAAAGCACCCTGTTGCAAATCACGCGGCGAAAATCGATAGGGTAAAGAAAAAAAAATCTAGTCTTCAAAAAGGGTAATGTAAGCACTTTTTAAAAACACCGTATGAAAAAAAGCACTTTTTAGCATTTTTTATAAACGCTATGCACCATGTATAAAACAGCAAAGAAATAAGTAGCATTAAATAGTGAAAGGCGGCAGTGTATTACCTTGATAGGTAGCCAGGAGCTCGTAGACTTCGAAAGGCACTTGCCTCTGTAGGTAGACAATGATGTGTGGGACAAACTTCCCAGATGCGTGCAGCATGTTGTGCGTGTGGGTCTGGAAGATGAGAAGGACGGCCACGTGCAGGCACAGGGCCGGTTCACTTGCTTCTGACAATTGGGTGAGGAGAGACTGCCTGTGATTGGCCAACACTAATCTGAAAAATAATTACTTTCTTCATTCCTTATAGTAGAAGATGTTAAGATAAACATTTTACAAAGGATTGGAACCACAATGGCTAACCATCGAGGCGTGATGGCTCGGGGGGATAGAGCGTTCACCTTCCAATGAGGTGAACCGGTTTCAAATTCAAGCGATGGCTGGTCAATACAACGACCACAATGCTGACGTAAAATCAGGGCCGTTTTATCCATTAGGCACTGTAAGCAACTGCCTAGGGACCCCGTGCTACAGAGAAAAAAATTGACAATGTTTCTTAAACAGTAAAAATTGAATTCGAAATTTCAATGACGATTATCTTGCTCTGTACATTACATCGACGCTATTTTAGTACATTTCTGAACGCATTCCAAATTAGATATTAATAGTATGGTAGTTAGTTCATATATAACGCAGTAATATAATCGCAAGCAATTTTATCGCGATAATTTTAACGCCGACTAATCAGATGACTATACAGCAAGAGCAGCTTTTTTAACACAACACGCTTGAAAAACGAGCAAAATTCTTTGTTGTGAATGCACACTTACTGTTCTGATACCTACCATAGGTACGTATATTCTATGGCCAAGCTACCAAAGAGTATGTAAAAATAAGGTTGGCAGTACTGGTTCGTTCGTCGCATGATTGGGGAATTCCCCGATCCACTAAATACATACGTTGTATTGTGTCATAGACAACATTTTTGAAACATTTTTAATGTAATCGTTGAATTTTCACTTCGTGCAATTTGTTTGCGAGTTTTACGGCTGTGAATGAAAAGAGAGTTTTACAGTTTGTGTTTCAAAACTTACGAATTTAGAGCTAAGTATTGGATATTNAAAATGATGTATTGGAAAAGGTTAACTTTCAGGATGTCTTGAACGATTTTGTAACAAAAAAAGTTAGAAGAGTTAATATTTAAGCTTATTGTATGATTTTTTTTAAATGCATATATTAATTACTTATATTCTTTTCGTTTGATTCAATATTTTTATTGAATAATGTGATAATATACTATATATAATATACTGTGATATATAATAATTAGGAAGTTAGAAGACGGTAGGGGAGGGGGCCCCGAGACGAGCATTGCCTAGGGGCCGCGACATACATAAGCCGGCCCTGCCTAAAATATCCTCAGTGGAAGACGGATCGTGGGTTAAAGCCCCCTAGCCACAAGGCTAATGTGTGAGGTTTTTCTCTTCACGTAACGCAAATGTGGGTTAGTACCATCAAAATTTCCACCATGAAGGCAAATTTCTCCCAATACGTGATCCAGGAGTTCCAAATCAGGTTCAAAATTACGAGGCTACGGAGTTGAACATTAGTAGTCATAAACCCAAATATTGGGTCGGCTATTCGACGATGTTTAAAATAAAATAAAATGGCTTACAGTCATTTATTTTATATGGTATATGAAGTGAAAGCATTTCCAACGTTACTAATAATATTCGGTGGAAAGGTTGTAACATAAGTGATGAGCAAAAGGTTAAAATAATAATAGTTTTTTTTCATTGGCAGTTTTTCGTAAAATTATTTAAACTTGTCATAATGTAATCAGTAAAAAATAAGTATATAAATAAAAGGTAAAAATAGTAGGTATGGTTAAATTATGATCATTAATATTATACTAGATGGAAGATAGATATTTATAGATTTCAGATTATTTGAACTAATTTTGAGAATGAATATCTTTTGAAATAGTCTAATAGTTATGAATCTAACACATGTTCTAAATTATCAGAAAGTATAATAAGACACGTAATAAAATTATTTCATAGAAAAATACTGAATTTAAAAATAAAAAAAAGAAACAAAAAAACCCTAAATCTGTTTGCAATCAAATTATGAAATAGAAAAACAGGTTAAACAAAAATATTAACACAAAACGATAATAGTATTTTTATGAGAAAATAAAAGAAATTGGTTAAAAAGAAAGCAATGTGTTACAAGATCAATGTAAATCATATCAATACTGATAAAAACAATAAAAAGCGGTTGGTTGTCTTCATTTTATTATTCTTGCATACAATAAAAATAACTTCAAAAATTACCTTTCCTTCTTTTTGTCTGGTTTTCTGACAATCATATCACAAATTCCAGCACCTAAAACAGTTTCTACTGCAGGATGAAAGTCCTCCAAATTCTAGAAATGACAACAAACAAGAAATAAAGAAAATTTATTAAGTTAACTTATAAAATGAAGAGAGGAAGTGGTGGGAAAAAAAAACTTAAAATTTATATTTTATCTGCCTACAAAATATTGATTGTAACAGTTTATTTATATGGGCCTCAAAAATTATTTTTAACTTCAAAAAGATTCCACAAACTTGTTTATAAAAATATCTAAATACAAGCTGTCGATTATAAGCTGGTAAAGATTAAGGCATTTCAGAATGGCTTTGAGTTTCAGTTTCTTCATAAAATTTTCGAAATACATTTTAACTTGCATTTAGACACCATTCTGAACAAGAAACAATTCCAAAATAATTAAGATGACTGAAAATTCAAGAATTTATTTATAGCAAAAACAGAAGATCTGCATTAATTATTTTTTTTTAAAACCAGGGTAGTGTTTTATTGGGTGAGTCGGTTCTTCTACTGGAGTAGTCGGTTTGAAGGTTGGATTATTCCAACACCCAGGTAAGAGCGTTGGTCATACTCCAAAAGGAAAGATAAATTGATCAAGGTATCCTTTATTTTTCACTTTGGCGAAATAAATGTTACGAAAATACATGAACTGGCAGAAGGGTATATCTCCCACGTGGGTCCAGGTTCTCCCTGTTTGCTTCAGGGAGAAGATATTACAATAAGCATTAGAGAGTTATTTAAATTTAATATAAATTTATATTCAAAAGATAATTGCAAATTAATAAAAAGAAAGATGAATACGAGATCCACAATCTGTGAGCGCACAGGGGGAGAGAGGAAAAAAGGCAGAGCCTTGGTAAGAGCTCTACGGGGTAAACTGGTCTATCTCCAAAAGATAGTGTATAGCGGTTGTGAGAACCTCTACAGTCAACACACTAGGGGGTAAGCCCTTGAGATTTCGCAAACGCCAAAGAAGTCGCTTCAGTTGGAGACAGCCCAGTAGGCAATTGGCACAACAAACATTATGATGATCACCTCACAGGTAGGAGGAATATATTATATTCTGAACACATGTTTAACTGATAAGTATCTATGAATTTCAACGATAAAATGTCCAACATTTAAACAGTTTAAGAATTACTCAGTTTAAAAGATCAGTGTTGGAAAAAAACATTTCAAGAACCTTGCTTTGTAAGTTACATGATTGTCTTTTTTGTTTCTAGATGTTTAATTATCAACAGGAACTGGCACATATTGATATTAATAAGTTTTTTAAATTAGTTTGACTCAAAGAAATGAAGAGGTAAATTAGGATAGATATGAGAAGTGATTGCTAGAATAAGAAATTGTCTGTTAATTTTTCGAAACTTAATTAGAGATTCGGACATTGAAATAAATATATTGAAAATATTAGGTTTTAAAAAAGAAGCCAATAGCAATAATGACTGAAAAAAAAAGATAGAATCATTATGTTACAATATTATCGTATAAAAAAATACTGAAAATCAATAGCAATATTAGCACAAAAAAAATTAAAACATTAAAATGCAGCATGAAGTGATTATTTAAAGGCACACTTCTTATTTTGCGTGTAATAATAATATTGTATTAACATAAAGGAATTTTAAAAACCATATGCAATTAAGATAGAGGTGAATTAGGAAAGATATGTCAGGGGATTGTTGGAGTAAGAAATTAGCTACTAATTTTCAGAAACTTATACTAAATTAGAAATTCGGGCACTGTAATAAATAATATATTAAAAATATTAGGCTTTTAAAATGAAGTGAATAGCAATAATGACTGAAAAAATGATAATATCATTGTATCAAAAATAGAATACTTAAACGATGGGATATAATATGAGAGGATATTGACATGTTACTTTATTGCATGAAAAACAAATTGTTTAACGCCATCAAAAATTAGCTTCATAATATCATATTTTAATAAAATATAAGTTGAATAAAAAGAAACAATTTTCCAAACGCTTGCAATTTCAGAATTACTTTTTACATAATAAATTTTACATTCGTTTTTGTCATGGAATAAATTCTGGCCAAAGCCATTCATTTCAGAATTTTTCTTTAATGCTTTGATTTGAAGTTAAGGTGAAATTGCACTATTACAACTCTTGTAGGAAAAAAAAGGTGTTTAAGAGAGGCATAAATACCTTGTTAAAAACATTTAACAAACTTCAAAATAAAATTTTATAAAAAATTTGAATTATAAAAAATTTGTCGGAATATAATTTTTGTTTCGCATAATTCCAAAAAATTAGCAGAGAAAACACATGTCTGAAATAACTCTAAGACGTTGAACAAATTAAATCAATAACTCACATACCTTTGCATTTAAAGAGTTGTGAAGCTTTATTAGTGGCTGTCGTATGTCTTCAGAAAATTTATTTATAATCTTTAGACGTTGCTAAAAAAAAAAAAAAAAATAATGATAATGTAACAATATAAAAATAATAAATAGTCAGGCAAAATTTTGATATAAGTAAATGTAAGTTAAGATATTGAAATAAAGGCAATGACATAATTAAAAAATAATTTAAAAGCTTGATATGTACCGAGTTGAAAAATTTATGCAAAATCATGAAATATGATCATTCCTTACCTGCAAGTTGACAAATGTGTCTATATTGAAAAACTTTATTTTTTATTTTATTTTATAACCGTAGTTGAACAGCTCATGCAATTTCGGGTTTATGGTTATTAATGTTCAACTCTGTAGCCTTATAATATTTGAACCAATACACAAGACAAGGAAACTCCTGGATCAGCACCCACTCAGGCATGGTTTGTTATGGGAACATGCGTCAGTCACCATTTGCTACAAGGGGAGTCTTCGGCTGGCGGGATAAAACTCACGGCCTTCGGACATGGACCAAGTGCCTTACCAATTAGGCTAACATGGCCCATAAAGCTTAACATAAATATTTAATAAAATAAAAATTTTATGAAAAAGTATTCTGAATTTATTTTTTTTAAGTGTTTAGTTATGCCAAATTAGAATAATTTCGATTAAACAGTGTACATGATTTAAAATTTAGAGAAGTGATTGTAATATTAAAATAAAATTTGGTTTTGAAGATGGTGCACAAAAATTAGAAATTGGCAGAATCCCCGTGGCAGAATTGCAGTGATATGGCAACATTGTTGCAGAACCTTAGAGTTCTTGCAAAAAGATTTTCCTCTTGAAAAATAAAAAAATTTAATTTTTTTTCTATAGAAATTGACATGTAATATTTGAATCCTGCATTTAGATAATTAGTTTTTGGTTACTGATATTGATTTTCACATGGTTTTTAAATATCCTGATATATTTCAAACAATATGGAAAATTTAAATCTTGCATTTGAGTACTTATTTTTTAAGGCGTTTTTTTTTTGAGGTTTTGGAAGTTAGCGGTATTAATTTCACCACAGTTTTTACATCTGATATTATTCATTACAAAACCTAATCACGAATTGAAACATGCATTTGAGGAATCTGATTCCTGTGATTTCGTCATTGATCTTTTTTTCGGCAATTACTTCTAAGGAAAATGCAAAGAAGCAAATAATTTGCACATATCTCCCCTCAACAAAATGCAAGAATATCACCCATAATATTAGAACAAAAAATGATTATATATTCAGTAAAAGAAATATATGTATAATTTTTTTTTGTAAGCACAACACTTTTGTTATTTTAAATCAGTAATATATATATTTGTTATTATTAAAAGTATCTTGTAGAAAGATATTAGTGGATAGTTTTGTCGCAGATAGCTCGAAAAAATTCTGCCACAGGGGATTGGATTTGGAAATATGTTTTCAAAGTTAAAGCTCAATGTGGTTTAGAAGATGGTGTTTAAAAACTTAAAATTGATGATTTGGCCGTAAAATGGGTTGGAGAGAACGACTAATAATCTGGATAATAGAGAGTGAATGGAGTACCTCAATAGTGAAAGATGTTTCCGATTGAACAGCTGCCACACCATGTTCCTGGGCAAGGTAATTGACAATCATGTTCACCAGGTCAGAGCACAGAGTTTTCAAAAGATGTTTTAGAAGTTGTGCACAAACATCTTCTGTGGAAACAATAAAATAATATTTAGCTGCATAAGGGTGTTTTAAAATTGTATATAAGTGTGATTAATATTTATTTTATACTGGTGTGTAGCCAGATTTTTTTACAAAAATTCACACCTTTTAGGTATTTTTTAAATACTCAAAAAATATATTTTTAATCACTCCCCCCCCCCAAAAAAATCATAACTAGAATCTGCACAGTAATGAAAAAAAATCTCTATCGTTTAAAGTAACATTTATTAAGATAAAATAAATAAAATTCAAAAATATTTTCAGTAACTTGACTTAATCATGATAAGATAACTAGTTTCTCAAAAACATTGCAAAGAATGTAATTTAGAACAACAATCGATACGGCAAAGAAAAAATCTCTTTTTAAAAGATAGAAAATTAAACACATTTTACTAACCCCGAATAAAAAAAGCACCTTCAAGTACTTTTTAAAAATGTTACGTACCCAGATTTAAACATTTTTTACATCTTCTAACTAAATTATTTTTTGCTAGATGCTTATCTATAAAGAGATGAATTTAACATACACATCAAAATAGTGAGTTGTTAAATATTACAATTTATAAAAAAATTTCAAAACTTTTTTTCTAATGTTTCCTTCTCCCACAAAAAAAAAACAAGTCCCTTTTTAGCCTTTATTGCAAACCACTGTTAATTAAAATCAAACCACTTTGCAATCATTTTTGAGACAGTTATAATGTTTTTGACAAAGACAACTTAAAAAATATTTAGAAATACCTGAAAATAGCTCTGTTGCTTTTTCAAACATTAAAATGTGGCTTAAGAGAGTTGTAAAATTGTTTTGATAGTCAGCATGTTGCTTACGACGGCTGGATCCTGCAGATGTAGATTCAAATAAAGCTTTTGCAACCTCTTGGTACTTCTTTTTAAGAGGTCTGAAATCAATATTAAACTATGTTAAAGATATTTAAAATATATTTGAAGAAAACTAACAATTAAAAAATTGTTAGTATTTATATCTATATTTTTAATGAAAAAAAAAGGTTTATTCTCAATCACTGATATATTCTTTATAATGGGTATCGGGTAACAAATATAAATGAAACAAATGCATTAAAGATAAATAATTTTTTACACATCTATTTTGGACATACATTTCTCGATAAATTTTTTTAGTAATGATTTAAACTATGGATAAAAGAAAAAAAAAACAAATTTAAATTTAAAAAACAAAAATAAAACCTTCAGTTTCAATAAATTTTATATTCATACATGCAACTTTTTTTAGGGGGAAAAAAACTAAAAATCAGGAACAAAGTAACAAATTAAAATACACAAATATTTACCTGGAAAAAAAACATATTAAAATTGATGTATTCTTGTTTTCAATTCAAATCAAAAGTTTTTTTTTAAATGATTAATAATAAAATAATCAAAGTAGCCAAAGAAGAAAACAAAGGAAATAAAAAAAAGTATTAAACAAAACATAAAAAAGTGACATAAAAAAATTATTATACAAAGTATTGTAAGTATTAAAAAAAGTATTATACCAATTAAAAAATATGAATGACACGCTTATTACCAAAATAAAAAAAAAAACAGTGTACATAAATATATATATATTTTTTATCAAATCTTTTTTTGTTTCATAAAATTCAAATATCCTTATAAGCTAATAAGTTTATTTGGTTTTATCACCACATTAGAGCTACAATAAATAGTAAGTAGAACTTTGAAAAAAAATTTAAAAGAGTGTGTAGCAAAATTTTTCAACAAAAAAAAGCACCTTTTTGGTACTCTTTTAAGACCTCAAAAAATATCTTTACACACTTTTTTAAAAATGTATATAACTAAGATATGCACACTAATAATTTTTCTTTCTCCACATTTGAAAGTTCTCCATATATATATAAACACATACAAAGATTTCACAACATAACATGATAAAATAACTAAGAACTCAACTCTTACATACATATTTAAGTAGAGAATTAAGCAAACTAAATAAAAATTTTAATAAATTTATATCACAAACGTATGAATGGTTTTGTTAGTTTTTTACTTGGTACAGTACTTCTTTAATGAAATGATTGAAATGTAAATAGAATGAGGATTGAAGATAGAGAATTTTGTAGGAAGTAAATTATTATATTCACATTATTTAACAAGGCTGAAAAAAATTGAATTTTTATCTTATATTGTTTTTAAATCAAATAATAAAGAGTTTTTTGAATTGATAAATCTGAATAACAAATTTTTTTTACTGAATTTGCTTTAAGTTTTGGTAAAGAAAAGCGCTTCACATTATACAAATGTCTTACCTCTAAAAATTATTGAGTTTTTTTTTCTTCATAAAATAACTCAAAAGCCCTAAAATTTTAATAAAAAATCCAGTAAAATAAGATAACAATAAAAGGTTTATGCATTTAAAGCAATAAGTGGTCAGTCCCTCAGGTAAAAACTCACTGCTTTAGACTCAAAAAAAATTGGTGAATTATGTCACTAATTTATGTGACATAATTCCCAACCCCCAAGTCAAGTTCAATTGTGGTTACTGATCTATAAATAGAATGATGCGAGAACAGGGGTCTGTCTAGGTTTTTCTGAGAGGTACCTATTTTGTGAAAATTTAGGCATAATGTGAAAAATTAATAAATTATATTAAAAAATCAACATAAAAGCATAGTAAAAATATAGATTTATCGTTTCTTAAGGATACAAAATAAAATTTTAAGATAAAGTATTTTGTGAAACTACCGTTTTTCCTAAAGTTGAATTTGTGAAACTACCATCGTTCCTAAAATTTAATTTGTGAAGGTACCGCTAAACGGTAGTAAATTCGGACTGGATAGACCCCTGGAGAACGTCATCAATTTGCCAGTGAGGAGGACTATGGTGCTTCACCAGCAAAGAAATTTTTAAAAAAAGAGAACAATTTTTTTTTCTTTGTTTGTATTAAGGAAAAAGGTGTAATAATCCCTATGATCAGATAAAATTCGTGAGATTTTCGGTTTAATTTCAGGGGACAAGAGATAAAACCTGAAATCTCTCGAAAAATGTAGAAGTATTGCATGAGAGTGTGCGTGAAACTTTTTCAAGGAATCTAGCTCAGAGTTTGTGCTTGAGGAGCCATGCGTGATACAGCCAACAAGTAAAATGATTGATGTTTTCACATGCCGAAATGTATTGTGGTTGAAATTATTATTAAAACGTTGAATAGAACAGTGAGAAAATTGCACTTTTCACAACATTGAAGGCAACTATTGGCGTGGTAAAGAAAAAATCTAATTTTGGAAAAAGAGAAAATTAAGCACTTTTCATAAACATCCAATAAAAAAAGCACTCTTAAGAGCTTTGATAAAACAAAAATAAGTACCTTTAAATTTTTTTAAAAACGGTATGTAACCTCTTTTATCCTAAGAGTAAACCATAAGTTTAACTATCACATAAAATGGTAATTCATCTCGTAATTTTGAAGAAATAGTGCACAAAAAAACTAAGGGTATTATAAAATCACCATTTTTCTGTATGTTAGTCGCATAAGGGTTAGCTTTACCTATGTATTTCAACTGCTATATCCGTGATTAACTCATCCGGGCAGTCACGAAATTGTTCCAAACTCTTCACGTGTTTCTCTACTTCACTCGCAGATAAAAATTCCAAGTCCAACTTCTGAGGTTTAGATTGTGACTCAGTTTCTTCATCGCTTCCATAATCATCAGTTTTTTTCTCAGTGAAGTATTTACGCTTCACGTTCTTAGTTTTCGTCTCCCTTCCTTGACTTCCAGTTCCACTACCTGATTTACCACCTGCTCAAAAAGAAAAAAAAATCCTTTATCAAAAAAGACGACAAAAAAAACCCACTTAAATCATTATTTAAAATAATAAAGTTAAATAATTTTGGAGAGAGGAGTTATCGACAATGTCAACATTCATCTATGAGAAGCAACCTTGCCAAAGAATCCAGTTAACATATCTAATATACTAGTGAATTGGGATTATATATTTGTAGTGTAGTAAATAGGAATTATATTTTTGTAGTGGTAGAAACACTACAGTACTCCTCCACCAGAATTATACCTGTGATAGAATTCGATGAAGGGATACCACTAGTTGATTCATTGCTGTTTTGTGAGAAGCCTGGAGAGCTGTATTAAGATCACCATACTTTTTGAGTGCTAATCGTGAGAGATGTATTAAGTTCACGATAGTGGTCACTCCCGAGTTGCTTTTAGCAGTCGAGTGCATATGCTTTACATCGTGTGTTATCGAGACTGAAAAGCAACAGTGTGAGAAGGACAATGTCACAGTCAGAATTCAACTGTTCAATGTGGACCATCCATTGAAGTAGGCACATTCAAATCAAAGTGGGAGTTTCTATTAAGGTAGGCGTGTCTACATCAGGTCCGAAAGTCACCAGTGTGGAACATTTGTTATCGACAATGTCAACCTTAATCTATGAAAAGGTACCCCCCATAGAATCGAGTTAACATGTCTTATATACTAGTGAATTAGAATTATATTTTTGTAGGGGTAGAAACACTACAAGTACAAGTAAATGTTTTTTCCTTTTTTGCAGACAATGCTTGTCAAAACTTAATGGAATACTTCTCACGAGTTATGTTTCGAGACAACTTAACAACTAACTTTAGTTACTGGACAAGCACAAATAAGCTGAGCTAAAAAGCGAATAGAAGGGCTAGGTCACTACTTTGAAGAGACTTGTCCCGCTCTGGGCACCTGATATTAGTCATTGAGGTCACGGCAACGCAGTATCAACTTTTCGTTTTAAAAATAAATTGTTTTGCATGTTCATGTAACTACCATTCTTTTTTTTTAAACTGATTTCAATACCAAAATATATAGATATCAGAAAATATAAAGATGCCATCAAATGAATTATAAAATGTACTAGAAGAATGCATTTTATAATTCATATGTTCATGGTACAGACGTTCAAACTCAGAACTCTATCGGGCCTTTAGAGAACCTGATGTTGTCAAGTATGTAAAAATCCAAAGAATTAAATGGGCTGGTCACATCATTCGAATGAACAGAGAGCGTTCGACAAACATAATTTTTTCGGCTCAGCCCATCGGATCAAGGCCCAGAGGTCGACCAAAGCTGAGATGGGCCGACTGCGTGGAAAGAGACTTTTCAGTCTTAAAAGTCTCAAACTGGAAGACAACTGCCAGGCGGAGGCAGGCCTGGAGGAAGTTGATTGAGAAGGCCAGGGCCCACCCGGGGCTGTCGTGCCATTGAGGAAGGAAGGGACTAGAAGAATGCTGTGAATAAAAAAAGGATTATGTTATCTGATTAGATGTCACAGAACTTTTATTAGAATTTCACCATTGAAATCGATACCCTCTGGCAAATTTAAACAGATAAGAAGAAAAAAATGTACAAGGTCAAGAAAATAAAACCACGAAATTCAAAAATATTTATGTGCTTTAATTACAACGCCTTAATTTTAAATATTTAGGAGCAAGTGTAATACTTTCATTATTATATGCCCAAAGATTATATTTTTACTTATTAGCATTTGAGATTTTTGTTTCCTAGTGATAATGTATAAAAAAATTTGCTATTATGCATCAAAAAATAGATTAAAATTAGTCATCTCAATTCATAAACTATTGTTATCGGACAATACGTAACCACAAAACTGTTCATACATGCTCTCTTTCATCTAACAGTAAAAGTTTAAAACCAAAATTAGAAAACAATAATGCTGATGACTATCACTGAGATATTTTTCCAACTTTAAAATGTTATTTTTTAACACCATTAGGAATACCAAGAAAATGTATGAATACTATATTTTTGAACAGAAATGATTTGTTAGCAGTGTAAAGTTTGACAGCTATTATCAGAGAAAAGTGTCGAACATTTAACTCAATTCTAACTGAAAGTATAAACAGCAAAGTTTTCATATCCTTTAGTTATGATTATCGAGATGTGTGTGAGGTGTGGAATCATAGTTTCAGCTTTGAGTAAGGAATGGACCAGCCATTCTCTTCAGCCCTGACAAATAAGTGTATCTGCAAAACCAGCCATCACTATTTACAGTTAGGCCATCATACGGAGGAGTATTTTGCAAATTTAGAATAATATGATATTGAAATATATTTTTTTCGGACAACGAAGTACAATAATTGAAAATTATGTTACTTTTCAATTATAGCACTTTAAAGATTAAAACATCAAGAGAGATATTTACAAACTATCTTTTTATGGTTTATTATTTTAACAGAAATGGAATTTAAGGATAAATCCCAACTGCAGATAAATGGGGTAGTAAAAGCAGTCTGGGCACACTTCTAATCACTTTGCCACAATCAAGTTGTCGACCCTTATCCTCCATAACACCCCAGGCCCACAATTAAGCTCTTCATATACAAGTTAAAATTATAGAGAAAACAGGGAAATAGATAAATATTTTTAAAGGAGAAAAAAAATTTCACAAATCTAAAAATTAAAAAAAAAAAAATTGGAAAATGAAATAAGAAAAAGATATAATCTCGTCATCAGCTCAAACGCTTATATCCAAATAAAATAGTGTTTTCTAATATTGTATTAATATAGCCGAACTAAAATACATCAATACCATAGAACAGTGTTTCCCAAAGTGTGGTAAACATACCGCCAAAGGTATGGGAACAGTTTAGCGAGGGTACACGTTCTTATGCAAAATATCTTGCAACAAACAAAATTTTCAAAAAATTTTATTTAAAAACAAAGCTAGCCATGAAAATTTACTATTGGTATTTTTGTATTCAAGAGTCGACAAACTTAGTTAACTTTTAAATTTTTTTTCCATGTTTCCTCTATATTTTTATATTTTAAACTTATTTTATGAGTTCTATGTATGTGCAGCTTATGCGAAGTAAATAAAACACTATTTCTCTCTCTCTCTCTATATATATATACACAACATTTAACATATATATATATATATATATATATGTCAAATGTATATATATGTAAATAGATAATAACATATTAAATTTTTATAGGTTGGTAAAATAGTATTAAAATAAAATTGTCTGTATTTTATTTTAAAATAAACAAGAAAATAGGAAATGAGAGAATTACCAGAGGATCCTTTCTTTTTCTTATCTTCTTTGAATTCTTGCCTTCCTTTTGAAGGAGGTGTTCCTTTTTTTGCTTGAGCACTTTGGACATTTTGAGGAGTAGTAAAAAGATGTGGTTTATTTGCAATGTCCTACAAAACATTTAACATACGGAATAAAAATATAAAAAGGGAAATTACACTTGTACATCAAAGCAAATTATAAATGACACCAAAAATAAATTTTCGTAAAACATAAAAATTTCATGAAATGTAAGAACAAGAAATTAATTGAAATTTGATTTTAAAGCAAAGAAACTTGTTTAATAATTTAAAAATGAAAATGTTTTAAAATAATTTGAAGAAAAAAAGGTTAATTGTCTTATAAAAATAAATAAATATCATAAATGTTAAACAGAACACTATTTATTTATAATTAGAACTTTTTGAAAACATGCTAAAAATCTCATTAAAAAACATAAATATAACATATTTAATAAGAATGTTTTGAAAAAAATAATATTGTTAATAAGAGCAAAAAACATATAATTAACACATTTAATATATAGATGAATTTTTCTACTTTTTATTAATTATACCATTTAGTTAATAATATATTTTATAAAAAATAGAAAAATGCATAAGAAAGTCATGAAAAAGAAATCCTATAATTTGGCAGGAACAAAACACATTATAAATTTTCATAAACATCAAAATTAAAGTGAAAGCATAAAAATAAAATTTTAAACCACTAAATATAACTAATTAAAAAAATATCGAAACTGCCTTATGTTTTTAAATCATCAAAATAAAAAATAATAATAAATAAAATTAGCAGAAATAAGTTGTTACAATAAAGTTCTTCGTAGACTGTAGAGCCAAGGAGTAAGTAAGTAAGTTGTTTACTGATAAATACAATAAAATATGAGTGTAAGTAATTTTTCAATTTGATTTCAACTTGAAAATTTAGAATTAATTTGTGAAAATTAAAAATTATATAAAAAATCAGCACAAAAATATGGCAAAAATATAAATTTATCATTTCTTATGGCATACAAAAATAAAATTTTAAGAAAAAGTATTTTGTGAAGGTACCGCTAAACGGTAGTAAATTTAGCCTGGACAGACCCCAGAAATTATACATAAAATTAAAAGCTACTTCTGTTTCAGAGCTTTGGTAATACTTTAACTTTAAAAAATATTTAAATAAAAAAGGAAAAAAAATCAAAATTACATAGAAATAAAACTTGTGAAGATCCCCAACTGAGCTGGTGTTTTACAAAGCTGTGATTTCTCTATCGAAACTAGAATTTCTATTTTATTAGTTGCTTTTTTTAACCACTCACAAACCTCAAAAAAAGGTTGGGATGGTTTAAAGCATCTTGAAGTGCCTAATAAAACACATATTTATGTGTTTTTTTTATTTCGTTTTACATTGGGCAATGCTCTTTTTTTTGTAATGACTACTGCTATTTTTATAATTCCACACAATTTTGATTCATTTTCCTAAATCAGGGTGTCCAGCCAAATCTTTCAACAAAAAATAGGCACCTTTTAAGCACTTTTTCAGCCCTCAAAAAAATATTTTTAAGCACTATATATATTAACAAAATACAAAATAATTTTCAAAGTCATTACATGATCATAATAATATAACTAGTAAAAAAAAAAACTATTTCAGTCCTGAAATTGAACTGTTTTGAAAAACACTCTCATTAGAAACTATTACATAAGCGTCATTGAGCAAACTAAGATTCAGGAAAGCCACTACCAATGAACACTCTTTAGTTACTTTTCATTAAATAATTAAATGTTTTTCTCCTATACAAAACTACAATTAATTAATTAAATTTAATGAATGAGTTAATATTTTGCATTTGAACTGGAAAGGATGAATAAAAAGCATGTTATTAACGATTGAAAATTTGAACAAGACATAGATAGAGATTGTGAACTAATAGTAAGAATTGAAAAAAAGCTCATAAAATTTTCTTTCAGCACATTATGGTTTGCTCATTACTGAAAGAGTTAAGCGTGATTTTCAGGAAGGGCTCAGTAATATTTTAAAATAACATTTCTTTCAGTTATTGCATCAAAAATAAGTCATGCTGGTTAATGTAACAAAACTCTATAACTTTTGAAAATGAGGGTTATTTTTGGGCGCCATTTACCAACATCGCATTGCAGATTTTAAGAGCTTTTTGGTGTAAATAAGTCGTCATTTACACTCAACTCCAATTTTTAATACCTTCTATAAATTTAAAAAATAACGCGCATAACACAATATGTTACAGCTAATTCTTGTACAATACGTAACAGCTAATTCTTGATAATTTCAGTTCTTTATTGTTTTTTAAAAAAAATTAATTTCTAAAGTAAAAATGACACCAAGATTTATTTTCACTCAAATTATTTGAGCAGTTTGAAAATACAACACTTGTAGATGGTGCACTTTTACAGATCACGCATGAGATTAAAATGAAGTTGTAACTCACATCTTTTGCTTTATTTGTCATGAGTGGTTCAAATGACTGTTGACAAGACTTGATGAACTCATCACTCACGACGATTGTATCACAGTAGACATGAACAACGCTCCCCTGCTTTGCAATGGATTTAGTCACAGTCGCAATTATTCCCTGGATATCCTCTTGAGTGAACACTGATGGTAACAGAGACTGAAACAGAGACTCTTTTTATTTACAGAGTATTTCTTTATGTTTCTAACACAAACTATTGCCTTTTACTACTGTTACATTTTTTAAATTTTAAAATTTACTACGTTTGAATTGCTTAAGGGGACGCCACCCTGAGGAAGAAAATTTTCCTTTCAGATTCCCTTTCATCACTAATTTAAGATTTAAAGTGTAGAAAAAGACAGTTCAGACAAACCTAGAGTAAGCCGTGAAGTTTGAAATACTGAAAAGAAAATTTGAATTATACAAATGAAAATAAATGATGAGATGATAACTTAGGATTACGCAATGGAGAAGTTCTCATCTAATAATTTGCTTGTTTGCTGAACTTACTCTTTGTTTTTAAAAATTAGTAATGATGGAGATAGAGAATTTGCATCGAAAATTTTCTTCCCCGGTATGGTGTTTTCTTAAATAAAAATTAATAGCAATTTTGAATATTATACAATTTTTTTAGATTCAGTAATGATTTTAACCCATAATTATGTTTACATCAAGATTGGCAAGTTTTTGACAATTGATGGTTTGAACCATCTTATCAAAAACCCATTTTTTTAGATAATTTTTGACAATTGCAAAAATTTAAACTTATGGTGCAAAGATAATTTTTAAGCTAATGTGAATATGAAGTTTTTATAAATAAACATGCATATAGAATTACAAGAGAACAATTATGTTTTTGAATTATTTTGATGTTAAATTATTTTTTGTTTTAAGTATTATTGTCAAAAACCCAAATTTAGGTTTAGAAAAAAAATTCACAATTGTAAATAAAAATGTGTAAAATTTCAAATTTATACGATCCACAAATAAGTTTATTTATTGAAAATAAAAATATAATTTTATAAACATTTAACAATTATCTCAATCATTATATGTAACATTGATTTTCACTCACTCCTATTTTAACTCCACCTTTCCCCAAAGCGATTGATTGAAAAAATTGTCCTAATTCAAACAAACATTTATATTTTTATATTGTATTTAGATCTTTTTATGTTGTTTAACGGAATATAAAGTCATGATTTATACAAAATATTCATGTACATGTAAGCAGAGTCGCGGAAAATTCTCAAAGTCTAAAATTTTTGGAAAGTAAAGTTATAAAAACAAAGAAAAGAATTAATTTGATTTCACACAATTCTTGTATAAACGAGCATGTGTGTTAAAAATAATAGAAATAAAAATATTTTTAAACATAATGATTTATTAAATTAAATTTGAATACAATAAATACTTATAAATACACAAGTTGACACATAATACTTTTTTTAGGAAGAAAAATTTTGCAAAGTGACACTTTTTTTAACAATAAAATTTTTCTGTAGGAAATTGTTTCCCACAAAGCCTCATTTACGCCATCAGATATATTCTTTCCCCCAACGTATAAGTAATAAGAATAATTAAGAATAAAAAAAAAATTATAAGCTGAGATCAGATAATTATTACTTATCGAGTTAGGATTCCCACAAAAGGAGGTCAATCATTTAAGGTTTCATAGTCAAAAATAACTTGAGAATATCCGATCTAGACTAGAAAATGCAAGTAGACCTTGAAAATTATTGTAAAACAATCTTACGACATAATTAAGCCTCAAAACTATTTTTTTTTTCTTTCAAAGAACTAAATGTCTTTCGAATAATTATTATTCTGCAACATTCTTGAATTTAAGTTATCTTTCAAAAATGTAACTACAGAAAAATTTCCCGAAATAGGGATGTTTAGCCTATCCAGGCTATGCATGAAATAAACTTATTATTTTAAAAGCAATGTTTAGAATGCAAGTAATATTTTGAATCTAAAATTAAATTTTAACAATTATTTGAAAGAAAATCTAATCAAAAAACTAATATTTAAGATTATTCAGAAATTAAATTGTTTATTTTTATTTATCACAATTGTTTACTTCAAAAATTATTAAAAAACAGTTTTGTTTAATATTTTCAAAAAATTTAGGTAAATTAATTTTTAAAAGAAAATTTCCAAACAGAGAGTTTTTTTAAAAAAAAATTAGATTATGTTACCATAAAGTGAGTTTAAGGCAGAAAACTTTCATTAGAAAAAAGAAAGCAATCATCAAAGTAATGCGATGTATAATTTTTGTGAGGAAGTTTAACAGATGAAGAGAGTTTCTAAAGTATCGAAGAAAAAAAGCGTAAAACTTACTAGTATATCCACCCATGTTTTTGTGTTGAGGGCTTCATCTATTGCAGCTTCAATTTGAGACAGAATATTCTGGCCAACACAACAAGAATTAAAATATGTCAACTCTTTAAACTTCTTTTTAAGATAGGTTTTAGGATCCAAAATTCCAAGCCTGGCAACAGCATCATACTCTGTAAGAACAGAAATGAATCAGATATTTCAAAAATATACCATTTCTAAACAAATTCAAATTGCAGATAACTCTTTAAGGACCTGGTGTTCCAAAGTGATTTAGTCTGTTCAACACTATTTACTCTGGTAGTAGATACTACTGATGACAAAATGTGTCCTGAATTAAAAATCGGACTCTGGCAAATAGGGCTGTCTATGGGTAGAGAATATTTATTAAATCTAGGTTTCTTTCTAGAAAGTTCTTAATTTATAAAACTCTTGACATATGCTTCTGAAGATTGGATAGTGACAAAACTGGAGGAAAATTGTATCGCACTATTTTAGAGAAAGATTTTGTGGAGTATACTCAGTGAGATAAATGAGAACAATAACTGGAGAAGGAGATATAACTTAGAACTGCACAAGATTCGCAAACAACACGATATTATTAAATACATAAAAATAAATAGAATGAATTGGATGGCTCACGTGATTCGAATGAGTGATGACAATACAATAAAAAAGACGCTGCTTTTTAGACCCACTGGAACAAGAAAGCGGGGAAGGCCGTGGTTGAGATGGGCTGATTCGGTGGAGTCTAATTTTCTTGCAATTAATGAAAAGAATTGAAGATCAAAGATAAATCGGAAGCCGTTATGGAGAAATCCTCAGAGGAAGACATTAGCCCACATTGGGCTGTCTGGGCAACTATGATGGTGGTGATTACTAGAGGAGTAGTCGAACGACGATGAAAGTCATTAAAAGCGAAAAAGAGGTCACGCTTATTTTAAGAACATGTGGTTTTAGAAAACCGCAAAATCCTGTTTATTATGTTACATAAAAATTTTGTACTTAGAGCTCTTTTTTTCTTCTTTGATTAAATATACTAATAATTATTTATAGTAGTAATATTGCACAAATTTGCAACAGCCTCAAAAAATTATAAATTATTAAATCCATAATTTATCTATCTGATTCCAACTACTCTAATTTTATTAACTAATTAAAAATGTAAGGACTGAAAGTTTTTGTAGAAATACATTTGATATTCCCTGAATCAAATTTCTTAATATGAAAAAAGAAATTCAATTCTTGCTAAATAGTTTCTTTTCATTATAGTAGTCCAAATTCAAGAAAAGTATCAGGGCGTTCTGTTGTTGTATAATTTTTTCAATTATTTAATACACTATTTCTATAAGATTAATTTATCATTAATTCATATCGAATCATTAAGAGAATCTTAATATCTTTCTATAAAAATTGATTTCACTCTAGGATGCATCTTTAAGGTCATAATTATAATATTATGTATTTCATACAGTGATTCTGTGGGGCAAAAAACTTATTACAAACAAAACGAAAATTAGTGAACAATGCTTTCCATAGATGCATCACATTTTTTAATGCAGACCAAAACCTAACTTTTAGGGTACAAATTTAAAATATTAATATCTTTTTTTTAAAGATTTACAATGAAAACTAAATATTATATGATTATAAATTTTTTTTATGAAAAAAAGAAAATAAATAAATAAAAATGCAATTAGCAATAATTTGGCAAAGAGATAAAATCAAAATTTTCATATAAATTCAAAATCTGTTGATATTTTCCTAACCTGATACATTCTTCTTTTTCACATGCACACACAGACATACATAATGCCATAATTTAAAATAACAATTGATCCAAAATAACAAAATGATTCAGAATAAATCTCCCATGAAGAGTCAGTTCACTTTGTACAACTAAAGAACATCAAAGATCTATCAATAGATTTGGGCCTCAAATTTTTGATTCATTTTTGTCATTTAAATACAGCATTTTCATACACTGACAAGCAAAAAAAAATCATATTTGCTGATTTTTTTAACAATAAAATACCGAAACAAATTGTAAGAAGTTAAGATACTTACCCAAATAACCATTCTGCTTGAAAAAAGAATCAATATACTCGTTTTGGGACTTAGCATAGATGTCTGGCACATAAATAGCCCTTTCTGATCTTCCGCCAGATATGCTGCCAGCTAACCTTCCCTCGTTAATCAAATCTTCAACAACACCTGCAAAGCAAGTATATTTATGCAACTAAATTATGATCAATATCGGTTGATTACAGAAAATTAATAAAAAATATTTATCAAATGATTAAAAAAGCTTTCATTTATGAAATTCTATACAGAATTTGGATGTATTGAACAAAAATAAAAGTATTGAGCACAAAAAAGGATAGATGAAACATTTTTCAAGAATATTAGTTTTTAAAGACATGTTGTAAATTGCTGCAAACAGAAAAAAAACTAAGAAAAACAACGAAAATTAATAAATGTTGCCTCCTTTGGTTGAACCATATTTTTTAGTTATTAATTTGAGTCTAGTTCTTATTTGAACCCCCGTTGCGGAATTGTGGTGACAGAACGTTATCAAGTTCATGCAGAAAGATTTTATCTTTTATTCAGAATTACATCCAAGTGGGGAAAAAAATTCCTAGTGATTTTTCTTATCTCGTTTGAGAATAATGAAAAATAAATGAAGTAAAAAATTTTGTTTTCTGTAGAAATTTTCGTTTTATTTTTTCATGCAGTTATTACTACTGATTTCCTCATAGCTTTTAAAATCCGATATTTTTAATACGATATTATTTATTACAACAACTGAATCTTGAAATGAAAACATGCCCCTTTTTGAAGAGTTCGATTAGCGTGATTGTGGCGTCGACCTTTTTTTTCTTCCTTTTTCGGTAGTTACTACTACGGATTTCACGACTATTTTAATGTGATGATGAATCACAAAAAGCCAAAAAAGGAAATAAATGTGTTAGCTTCCTACAAAATGCGAGAATATCACCCATAATATTAGAATAAAAAATATATTGCATATTCAATTAAAAAAAATATTTTATTTGATCTGATTTTATTTATTTACTTTTTGAACTTAACGTTTCGGTCACTTTAAATTAGTAACATGTATATTTGTTATTTTTAAGTATCTTTCAGAAAGATATTAGTATTAGAGAGGTATGTTGCAAAGAGGTCAACGATTGATCACAAAGATTTTGAAAACAAATATAACTAGTACTTTAGCCTTAATTGCATACACAGGGTGCATAGCCAAATCTTTCAACAAAAAATAAGCACCTTTTTAAGTACTTTTTAGGCACTTAAAAAATATATTTAAGCAGTATACACATTAACAAAATGCAAAATAATTTTCAAAGATTTTACATGATCATGATAAAATAACTAGTTTCAGACAAAGAACTCTTTCTTTTATTACATTAGCAGGGATCTGTCTAGGTTTTTCTAAAAAGTACCTATTTTGTCAAAATTTAGACATAATTCGTGAAAAATTAAAAATTATATTAAAAAATTAAAAATTATATTAAAAAATTAAAAATTATACTAAAAAATTAAAAATTATATTAAAAAATCAACATCAAAATATGGATTTATCGTTTCTTAAGGGATACAGAAATAAAATTTTAAGAAAAAGTATTTTGTGAAACTACCGTTTTTCCTAAAGTTGAATTTGTGAAGGTACCGCTAAACGGTAGTAAATTCGGCCTTCACAGGCCCCTGATTAGCCGCCATAAAAATATAGAAAGATTTTTCGTTTCGGTTTCAGAGGGAGGAAAATGAAGCCGGAAATTGTGACTATCTTGCCAAATGCAGACGAGTTGCACATAACTCCCACTGAATCCAGCTCAGTATATGCACATGCAGATCCACAAGCATTTCATCAAACATGTAAAATGATTGGCGCTTTCATATGCTACAGAACAACAGTATACTGAAATGCATTGTGTGTGAATGATTGATGAAAACATTCAATTAAAAAAATGTGAAAACCAAGCTTTTGCATAATACGTGGCGAAAATTGACAGGGAAAAGAACAAAATTATCATTTTCGAAAAGGGAAAATTAAGCACTTTTAAAAGCAAGTAATAAAAAAACACCTTTAAGGGGATTTTAAAAAAAGAAAATCGAAGATAAGCAACTTTAAGCACTCTTTAAAAACACTATGCATCCTGATACAAAATAAAATGTAAATATGGAGCAAGTACTTACAATAGAATAACTTCTCGGGGAACTTGAAGTGATTGATTATACTAGACAAAGGCATCGGCCTGACAACAAAATATTAAAAAATAATTTCAGCACAAAGTTTTAAAATAGGAAAACAAAACATGATTCAAAAAAAGATACCTGGTGATGGCTGATAAAGCACCTCTTATCCTGGCTGTATGCTGAGAAACATACGAATCTGTGAAAAATGTTCTTGAATCATTGGTGTCAGCCTGACCATGGACTATGGTACCAAGTCTATTATGAATGACCTAAAATAATTACAGAGTTATATTTAAAGATTTATGTCATCAACAAAGTTACTTTTAAAGACAATAAAGTTTCATTACTGAGATTATTACCCGCAACAATGAATTAGCAAAACTGATAACCTACATATACAAGGTCGCTACTCAAATCTGGAAAAAAAATTCTTCATGTTTTCCTTGTACGTATTATACACAATGTATTAAAAGGAAAGGTTGCTCTTGTATGAGCTTTATTGGGCTAATTATACTGCTTTTAAAAACTTAAGAGTAAAAAAGGAACATACTTAAATTATATATAGTTAATAGTTTAGTATAGCTGGCATATCTTTCTTAAATATACTTTTGAGTGGTTACCATTTTTTAAAAGACGAAAATAAAAATAACAAAATTTCCTGTATTTCAGCAGTTTGTAAAGAAAAACTCAAAGTTCCTGAGATTTTCCTGTTAATTTTAGTGAACTTTTAAATTTTGGTGAAATTTGGTGATTTTTCTACTTCTTTAAAAGGGACATAGAGACATCTTTGAGAAATTTTCTTTTTATTGTGAGAGTTATTTTGAATCTCTTACGCTGGAGAATATAAAGCTTCATCTAAACAAAATTTCTTATCTTTTCTTCATTTAAACTTAACTTCACATTTCTTTAAATAAGTCTGAAAAATTTTTGATTTCTGTTAAAAAATATTATTATAATTTTCTGCTAAAAAAAATTACACTTTATAAAAACACCCTATGAAATAAGCACTTTTAAGGGCTTCTTAAAAACGAAAAAAAAGCACCTTGAAGCACTTTTTAATAACACTATGCTAAATATTAATCAAATTTCGAATTTGAGTTATTACTTCAGGAAGTGCTTGAAAAGAAAAAATTTTGAGACTTTGTTTCAAAAAATCTTGACTCTTTAAGCACTTTCATTTTCCTTTTTTAGAAGAATTCGTGACTTTTGTGATGGCTGGACACCCTGTTTCACACATTTCTTTAAAATTGGAACTTGGCAGTAAAATGAATAGTGCATATCTTCTAGTTAATCGACTGGTCTTTTCCACCTTCAAAAACGAAAGTTTCCTTTTCCACGTAATTGCTGGTTTATCAGTATCTTGCCATGTAAACTATGAATATTGCTATTTAGTGTATGGCAAAATTAATGATTGCCACTAAATATAACAAAGGGCGATGAAAAATACTGTCTGCCAATCACCAGATTCTCTGTCTAAATTACATCTCATGCATATTCAATTATTATTATTATTTTGGATAAATATAGAATCTCATAAGGAGAGGGTATACTTTGTTTTACACAGTAAAGAGACTGAAGTAAAAAACGTGAATTAAGCACAAATAAATGGACATACTATAGTTTCGGTTCCATGAACAAGATCCTTCTTTAGTGTCTAAACCACCCCCCAAATAAATAATAATTATTATTTGGGGGGTGGTTTAATTTAAAAACTAAAGTATTTTTTGAAACTGTAACACGTCTTTTTCTGTCTGTTATTTGTGCTTTATTCGCGTTGTTCTGCACTTCAAAATACAAAATTATTATGAATATTTTTTAATCTGTAATTTACCTCATTTTGCACTTGTTCTTAAAATTTCTCTTCATTTTCTAGAAACGAACCTTGTAACGTTTACTACATTTTGAAAAAAACTTCAAAAGAAATGCTTTAAATTATTAATATCAGCAGTTTTGAATCATTTTAAATTTTTGAAAAAAGGCCAGTGGTTTTTAAAAAATGGCTACAGTTAAAATGCTGCGAAGCAAATGCAAGAAGCAAAATTCCCTGATTTTATCTTATAGAATTTAGTACACAAAAATCTGATCATAAAGTCGAAAGTTATTTAAACTGTAAATACTTTTTTTAAAATTTTGAACACTGTACAATTGTGATGTTTTTTCAATGTCAAATACATTAATTCTAACGAAACTATTAATTGCATTTTCTAGATACATTTAAAAAAGAAATATACCTCTGTCAAGAAGTCTCCAGGCAAATCGTACAATTTAGTAATTTCAGCTATTGTGATCTCCCCCACTTGATGTAGCTTCTCATTTACTTCTTCTGCTAAGTGATCCAGATAATCACTAAAAAGTTTTACAAATTTTAGGATTTTTGTTGCTCTCTAATAATATTTGTTTCAGCAATCAATAAGTTCAAATGAAATGAATGAAACCTCCAACAAAACTAATTTTACAGGAGAGACAAAAGACTGAATAGGTAAGTATAAGCTTGATAAACAGATTTTTTTAAATTTATTTCTTGATTTTAAAATATGGTTAGTTACAGAATATGCTATTACAATTCTGAGATAACATCACTAATATTTTTAATTTAAAAAGTGATTAGAACTTGTCGAAAATATATCCTAAACATTATTGTTATCAAGCAAAAATATTAATAATTTGTTACTTAGAAATGAAATTAAAAATACTTCATTTAAATGTCAGACTACACATTCATGGTATTTATATAGATTAAGAAATCTCTTAGATCATGAGTATCTAAATATTTTGGAAATACTATCTGTGCTGGGCCACTTACAAATTTCTTCATAGAAAAACAAAAATACATTTGCTTTACTTTATAAAAACTTTTTTAATGTCTCCAATTGTTCATGTGGTTTATGGTATTTTTTCTAAAATATGCTTCTATAGCCTGAAAGTAACATTTATGATGTTACTTTTTTTTTGTACGGGAGTAGATGTTAATTTGCATAAACTACAAATGAAAGGAGAGACTTCACATTTAGGAGTAGTGTTTTTATAAGTAAAATTGCTATAAGGTGACACCTGAAACTGTTGTTTCTTCTGTCTTGATTTTCCATAAAGCATATTGATATCACATTTTTTTAGTAACGTTCTGGCCAGCAGCTTTTCAAACCAAATAATAATAAAGAAAAAGAGCAAAACATTGCAGAAATATCAAGAAAAAATAGACTTTTATTTTATTATTCCCCGTCTTGAAAATTTCACTGCAATTTTTCATGCTCGTGTACAAATATTTTGATCAACAATTTATAAATCACCAATTTGACAAAATATTTCCCATTAAATTAAAAAAGCTAATAATTAATGATTAATTTGCATTTTTTAAGGACTATGCTGTAATGGTATAATTTCTAAAAAAATTAGAACAAATATTTTTCATTTCGATGAAACTGTTCATTTTTTTATGTTGAAAAAAAAATTAGAGAGAGGAAAACGAAGTTGATTGCATATTCTGGAACACATCAACAATTGTGAAATTATTTTTTTAAGAACAGTTGTTTGAATTTTTGGGGTATTTCAAAAATTCTACCTAAAGTGGGAAGAATCTAATGCCTGTTTAAGTAAAAATTAAGATCTAAATTTTCTTTCAAAAACTTTTTATGATTTAAATTTCAATGACAGTTGTGGGGAAAGGATCGTTTGACTATGTTAACCTTCATCTAAGCCAAGAATAAATAGAGTTAGCATATCATATATACTAGTGAATTGACGTTTAATAATTGTAGTGGTAATTACCCCACAATACTCCCTCCCCACCAGAATTTTATGAAGGATAGAATTCGATGAACGGATACCACTATTTGCCGTATTTGCAAAAGACCGGGAGAGCAGTATTAGGTTCACCGGGTTTTGAGCGCTCGTAATAAGAGCAAGCTGCATTGAGTTCACAATTGTATGCGTGGCCTCTCTCCTGTTGCTATCAGCAGTCGAGTGTGTTCAGAATCCCATTGTTAAGAAGGAAAAGCGCGAGGACGATGGGGACACAATCACAAGTAGCAGAGTCAACTGTTCAATATGGACCATCCTCATATCACGTCCTTATTTCACCAATGTGAGGAGGATGTTATCGACAATGTCGACATTCGTCTATAAAAAAGTACCCCAAGATTGAATCGCGTTAGCGTGTCATATATTATTGAATTGATGTTTAATAATCGAAGTGGTAGTTACCCAAGAACAACAATGCTCTCAACAAACTTAGAGCAATTTTGGTGCATCTAAATCATTAACAATTAAAAAAAAATGAATACACAATAGAAAAAAAAAGATATCTAAATAAAATACCTCGTGATGAGTTGTCCCAACACCATCCATGTATTAGATTCACTGTTGAGGAACTCGTTTGCTTTTGTTTCCACATGGCTGTAATCAACACCAATGATCTGAGCAAGGTCAACCAAGTTGATACGTCCTTAAAACACAAGCATTACAGATTAACACTGATAGTCTCACAACACACCATGAAACAGACAAGTGTTTGTATATTTCAGCTCTGACACAAACAATTAACTTTCAGACTCAAAATTTTAAAATATAGTTGTTTTTAACAGAGTTGGCAAGGTTTAAGTATATTAATCCATGGTTTAAACCGACCTGTCCAAAACTGTCTTAAACTGCTCAAAACCATTTTATTCAAACTATGCCAAAATTTTAGAAAAAAATATTGTGAAAATAGAAGGTTCATTTTTGAACAAGAAACAGAATGAAGACAAGTTTTTGTTCTATTAAAAAATATCATTATTGTTAATATTGCATTATTTATCCTTATGCTAAAAAACAAATTTATCAGTATTAAAAGCATATTTATTCATAATTAAAGGATAAGGTGTTCACTTTCGTTGTTCATTGAATTGTGGAGCTTCAAAAGTTATAAATCTTTTCCTATTATATTATACTATTTTCCTCTAATTAGTTAAATCAAATTGTATAAAAGTATCAAATATTTATTATTATATGTAATTATTATGTATACAATGGTTACATATATAGAATTTTTATCTTTTACCAATGTTCAAGGTTTTGGACACTTTAAGGCAGTTTTAGTCAGTTTAGGACAGTAAACCCGTGTGACCTGTCCAAAACCAGTTTAGGACGTCCAAAACACCAACCCTGTTAAACATAACACATAGTGGACATATTAAAAATAAAAAAAACTTTTACCCTCATACAAATAAAAGCTGAACCATGTCATAATTCTGTTGACACAATTTTTACTTCATAAATGTCTACAATGTTATGAATCATCCGTTTCAAACTGTCTTATATAGTATGAATTTAAGTAATGTAGAGAAATGCACTTAACTCTAAGATCATTAAGCTCATCAATATCTCCAAAAGTACAGGTACTAATGTTGTTTGATGTATCAGTTAAAGAAATTATTTAAAATACCCAAGGCTGGTCAACAAATATGCACTTCTAATTTCACAGAGGTAAGCATATACTATAGATCAAACGCCCCTGTTTAAAACCAGCCACTTCCAAAAACAGTTCAATTACCCAAAAAAAGTTGACATTTTTTTTTTCCTAAGTAATTTTAAAGGGTCCACACAAACATCAAAATTTCAGATTTTCTTTAAAAACTAATAAATTCAGCATTTTTTAACACTCATTTATATATTTCACTAAAAATTATTATATAATGTTCTATCAATAATTATCAGCATCAATGAGTTATATTGTTTTCGAGTTTCTCCAACAGTATTTACATTCACAGAGTTCTAACTAGGAATAAAAAATAGGGCACTTTCAGTTTCGAAAGAGCACTTACTTAACACTGTAAAAATTTATATAAATGTGTAATATTATGTAATGACTGAATTTGATCCTCAACAGTTTTAAAATTACCCACCTCTACGATATTATATGTATATTTCAAAAAGTAATTTTCATTCATTATCAAAATAAAAGAAAATTTGTAGTTTATAATTAAATTAAATAAAGGCATGTCATCCCAGTATATCACATTCCAAAACAAATTAACACCCCATCTTTACAAATGACTTTTTTATAGCAACAATTACACCGGTATACAAGATATAGATCAGTATTCCTTTATAGATCAGTATTTCCTAAATTACTTGGTACAATGAAATAATATTTCATAGTTGTTCACAAAGTTTCATAAAAATCCGCTGACCATAGGTTAACTGCACTTTGGTTGGATTGTTTGACTCAAAATGGACTAGAAGAGATGATACAGCTGCCTTCTTGGAGTAGCAAAGTTCCACCGGAGGAATAGGAAGTTTTAAAACCAGTTTAACCAATATTCCGGTTAAAATGTAAAGTAGATATAAAAACCAAACTTAAAATAAATAAAGCAAAGATATTCCAACTTAAATTTCATATGTCTCCAATTGTNTAATACACTAGAACTTGACTCAAAACTTTTACTAGATATTTCAGAATGGAGTAATTCTGAATCTTAAGTCACATCATTTATAAAGCTGCAAACTTTAACTAACTAAACTAACCTGTCTATGCATTTGTAAATTTAAATTGCAATATTGTATACAATACAGAATATTCTTACAACTTCAATTTTCTTTTCAGGGAGGCTGTTAAAAAAAGGCGAAACCATAGGTTAATAAAAAAAATATTAAATATAATTATATCTTATTTTTAATTAGAGCACTGAATGTTAAGATTTATTAAGAGGACGCCATACCATGAAAGAAAATTTAGGCGCAAATTCTCTATCTCATTCATTACTAATTTAAAAGAAAGAAAAAATAAGTTCAAGCAAATCTAGAGTAAGTCCATGAAGTTTCAATTGTTGAAAAAAATACTTCAAAATATTAAAATGCAAACAAATTATTAGAAGAGAACTTCTGTGTTGTGTAATCCTAAGTTATCATCTCATAATTTATTTTCATTTGTAAATTTTCGTTCCAGTATTTGAGACTTCGTGGTTTTTTTTAAGTTTGTCTGAACTCACTTTTTTTACACTTTAAATTAATAATGAAGGAAAAAAAGAATTTGGAACAAAAATTTTCTTTTGTGTTATGGTGTCTTCTTAATACTAGTTCAAAATAACTTTTTGATGTGACCGATAGATTCATATATCAGAAGATTTCCATTGGTACCTACACCAAAATAATTGATATGAATTGCCAAAATAAGGACTAACTTGAAAAGTATAGCCAATTCCGGGCAGCATTTCCTTTTTCAACTCTTTGGGAGATATTTCTGCATTGTGATCTGTTATACAGCAACAACAATTGCTAAATAGACTTTAAACTTGCAAATGTATTTTTTTTTTTAAAAAATGTAGAGGTTAGCCTGAGGGTGGTTATAAGTTACTTCCCTTCTGTGATTCTTTTCTTCAGTTTCTCATGGCTACTGCCCAGAAGTCACCAAGACTTGGTGATTATTTTGTAATACTGAATTTTCGAAAAAAATTCCCACTGAATTTTCGAAAAAAATTCAAGGACTTTTCAATGACTTTAAAGGACCTAAAATTAAATTTTTTAAGGACCTATTCGGTATTACAACTATATGCTAAATTACATGTCAACTAGATTTTACAATTACGTAGAAGCAGAAATTGTATATTAAAAATATACAAGCACAATATTTATTTGACAACAAAATTTTTTTATTAAATTTATCATCTAATAATACAAATGGTTGATAGTAACATTGCTGTTTTCAAATCACTTTGAAAACCTCCAATTGACATAGGATGCTAGCCAACATTTAAAAGCTAGCATCAATTAAACTTTTCTTGAAAACTTTAATGAAGTGAATTAGAATTAATGAAATTGAGTGAATGAATAATGCATATCACAATAAACAAGAATAGTAAATATTGATAAAGTTTGAGTAATTGCACAGTTAATAAAATATAAATAGTCTTTTTTCAATATATTAGATCAAATTTTAGGTTACAGGAAATGTATATAATTAGATAAAGTATCAAAATATATCCATTTAACATACCTGTTTCAATTTTAATAACAAATTAGCTATTTTCTTACTTCAGAAAATGAGTAATGTATTTTGAACATAAAATCTATTGTAGAACAATATTTTACAGAAAACTAACTAAGACTTACCAAGCTTTATTTTCTTTAAAATATATCCATAAAATGTGAAGAGTGATTTTTAAAATTTTGTGAATAAACGTAATTTTCACTCAGCATAATTTTTAAATCTAGATGTACTATATGTAAATCAAAATTATAAGAAAGGTGTAGTAAGTCTCAAAGATTACGTAAATCACGTATCAGAATGTGTGATTTGTAACTTGAAATTGAATTGCGGTTTATGTTTCTTAAATCGAAACAATATGAATAGCAAATTATACAAAACGCACGAACTAACAAGATGTAAATCACAGTGTGATACACAAATCACTTCAATATGAATTCTGTTGCATAATTAGCTAATAGTTTTAATGTGAATTGTGATCATTATGATGCAAACTGCAATTTGTGAATCAAAAGGTGCTTAATATAGAACAGCTATGTGTGATTCTTAAATCATTTTGATGAGAATTGCAAGCGGTAATTCTTAAATCTCTCTTTTGTGAATCGCAACGCGTGATTTGTAAACTACTGGAATGAAAATTATGAGGCATGATTCTGAAATTATGTAAATCATGATGTGTGAATCCTGATGAGTAATTTGCAAATCCCTTTAAAGCAATATTCAATAAGTGCTTCATTAATCACTTTCACTTAAATAGCAATTAGTAGAACATTTTATGTGAATTCCAATGTTTATTCATAATCAATGAAACCTGCAGAACTACATTTTATTTATTAGCAGTAAAAACTAAACATAAAAGTTTGATTATAAATGATAAAAAAATTTATTATCCTTCGTACGAAAATTAAAAGAACAAACAGGATAACAATATTAACCTGTGGTAATAACGAAGTTAACACATTGAACATATTTCTAAATCGATATACATCATTCGAAAACTATGACTACAAAACCTAAAATTTGCTAGAAATTTCAGCTTTCAAAATATCTGAAAGATGAACAATAATCTGGTGTGAAAAATCCAGGAGAGAAAAGTTTTGCATCTTCTTTAACCCCTTCTCACTTCAAGCATTAAAAATTGCATCTATCAGAATTTCTATAATTTTCCTTTGAATTTATTTATTATTTTTTTACAGCTTTTTTGTAAGAAAGATTAGTATTATTTTAATTCCTAAAAAATCAAGCACTTTTCAAGTACCCTATGGCAGAATTCAAGGCCCTGGTTGTTTCCAACAAAATTCAAAGACTTTCAAGGTTTTTCAAGTACCGTGGGAACCCTGTAATAGATAGCAACAAGGAAATATCCCACCACTTTCACCAAACCATATTATCATGCTTTACCAGCAGATCAATTGCCATTTTACAATTCTTATGCAAAGTATATAACAATTTTCATATTTCTTACTTAGTTTAAAAATGCCTGGCATTGTATACAATGCCTAGATATGTCCTGCTTTGAAGTTAAATAATTTTTTTTCTGTACTTGATCCTGAGAAGAGAAATGGTTTATTGTGTCACAACAGAGAGAAGGAAATAATACAATAAATGAGCTATACCTCCATGAACAATGAGTTCATCTTTGATTTCTTTTAGCAATCGAGAAGGAGTCAAATATTCTTTACCATCGGTTGTAAATATAACTTCTATCAACTTCAGTTCAATTAACTTTTTCACAATTTCAATACAGTTTCGTTCTGAGAGTCTGTAAAAGAAATTAAGGATTAATCTTGGTAGTCAGTTAAAAGTTATTTCAACTAAGATGAAATAACTTTCTAACTCAAGAAGAACTAAGTCGATAAAAAAAGTTATTTCAACTTAATTCTAATTTACATCACAGAATTTATTAGACAAAATGGCAATATTTGGGAGGGTTGTTAAGTTCGCAATCTATAAATGAGATTTGGAGCTTTAAAAAATAAAACTTGGCATAGGTTGTTATATAAGTAGTGCATAGGTGCTCATATAGAAATATTGTGTTTGTGATTTTCACTTTCTGCATTTTATTTCGTTATATTAAATTTGTTGTTACTAAAAGAGTAATTTCGATGACCCGTTTTAAGCATAAACACTAAATAAAATTCTTACTTTATAGTTGAAGATTCTGCGAGATTCAGTGGGTTTTGCTATTTAGCCATTTGCTTTTTTAAATTTAAGACCAGATTTCATGATTGAGCTTGAGATTTGTAAATTTGTGAGTGTGTTAAGTTTGTAGTTCATGGGCATTTTTGTGAATTCACTTATGATTTATATGTCTTTTTTTTCATGATATGCTTATGTATTTGACCTTTTCAGGCTATAATTTTCTATGCTTTTGCCTATGCCATTTTATGGTGAGGTATTTTATGTTAAAAATATGTAACTTCCACCATTTTTCATTTTATTTATTCTTTGAAATAAAAGAATTGAAAAGCAAAAGTTTAATTTTTTTTGCACCCAGCTAACTGATAAGCACCCTTAGTGACAATTGTAAAAACATCCCTTTAGCATTGGCAACATTGCCAAAAGGATGTTTTGTGTCATTTCAACATTGACAACATTTTTCAAAGTCGTGGATAGCATCTAATGCATTATAAGACTTAATCTAGATTAAAAACCCATTTTTAAGAGAATAGTTTAAGGGTGTAATGATCTGAGGCAAATTAACCGCTAAATCTATGCAACTTCCAGGCAGCGGCCAAAGAGAAATTTTAAAAAAATATTGAAGCAGGCAAACTTCGAAATTTTTTTAAAAAAAGGATTTACGAGTATTGATTTGCACAGTTTTGGAACAGTTGTGGTTGACATATAGATTCAGGATACATAAAAATCCCCTTTAACCCACTGGCGGTTCTGCACGTAATAAGTTGTATTTTAACCTGCAGTCTTCTCCACATAGCAAAACCGGTTTTTCCATGTTAATAGATAGGGGGATTGTGTACGGGGGAGAAACATTTTCCCAATTTTGCTAAACCGCAAGTGGGTTAAACTCAACAAAGCAGAGAACAGAGATATTTCAGAGCTGCAGTAATTTTAATCAACAGGGTACGAATTGAATTTTAAACTTTCAATCAAAACAAAATAATAACATGTAGAGGATATGAGACTACCTCTTGAGTGTGTCTGGTTGATTGACTTATTTTAGTTCCTCGACAGACAAAAAGTCTGCTGCAGATCGCAATGGAAATCTTCACTTACATAACATTAATGTACTTCAAGGGTTCTGAAAATTACCAGCTAGCATATGCATTAATAACAAAACAACACAAGACACAAAAATACAGAGGTAAACAATTATGAAACCTCTGGGAGATATTTTTTGTTGAGATTGGTTTAAATTTATTTTAAGCTGCATACCAGCCTGTTATGGAAACTAGATATCATATAAGTCTTTTTTTTGTTTTGTTTGTTAAATAAATCTTTTCTTTTTATAAATATTGTCTCATCAGTACAGCTTAAATATATTTCAATGGAAGCAATGAGATTCATTTTAGAAATGTTTTATTAAGCTTTCAGGTACAGGGTTGCCACAGAAAAAAATAAACAAAAAGTAGCTTTTAGTAGCCTAAAGCATGAAAATCGTACACAAAAACTAGGAAAATTCTTGCCTAAATAAGAACAAAAATTCGTCAAAATTATGACTAAAATTTTTGTTAATGACTTAATTGTCATATACCATGATCCATTCAAGTTGGTGGCAAATATGATAATTTTTATATAANTGTGAAAAATTAAAAATTATATTAAAAAATCAACACAAAAATATGGATTTATCGTTTCTTAAGGGATACAAAAATGAAATTTTAAGAAAAAGTATTTTGTGAAGCTACCGTTTTTCCTAAAATTGAATTTGTGAAACTACCGTTTTTCCTAAAGTTGAATTTGTGAAGGTACCGCTAAACGGTAGTAAATTTGACCTGGACAGACCCCTGTATACATATATATGAAAAGTGATTTTCTCAAATTCGAAATTCACGCATCGTAATATCATCTGAAAGTTCTTTTATTTTAATTCATGCGGAATATTAGAGTAATAATCATTGAAAAGGCAATTGAGAAATGAAATAGACTTACAATGGAATAGGTGCAGATTGATCGAATTAAAAAGCGAAAACTCAAATTTGAAATTCAAAATTTTCAACATTTAAAAAAAAAAAGAAAAAAAGTTCAGTGTGTGCAGAAACTATTTTGTGGGTGCAGATTTTCTACTCAATTTATGCAGCTTTTTTTTTTTTTTTTAAATCGCTTGGAGTACAAAAAAGTCTCCCAATATTCTCTTCTTCCTGAAAATAGTTGCTTTTTTAGCCTTTTCAGGCAATAAAAAGTTGCTATAGTCACCTCACGCCAAATATAGTTGCATTTTAGTCACCTGGGGCAACCCTGGGTAAGAGTTGGCAATATTATTATAGCTTTCATTGCTCGAGCACACAAGTTCGATTTAGGAGAGTTAACAACAAAGTTAAAAGAGTTTGCTACAAAAAATTTAGTTACTGTTGATTTGAAAAATTTTATTAGGAAATCTAAGAATTATGATAAAGTGAGGATAAAGGCAAGATGTATCAATTAAGGAAAAACGAGTTAAAGAGTTACGACCACAAGAGGAAATCAACCAAGACAAGAAGAATTTGAAAAGTGAAAAAGACAAGACCACTTGGCATTTGAAGAACAAAAAAAAAAACAAAAAAAGAGAGAAAAAAAAGAGAAAGCACAGCGGCTTAAGGAAAAAAAATTTGAAATAGAAAGTATAAAATTTGAAGAAGAAAATGTGAACCGGAAAGAACCAACTTGAAGTAGAAAGAAATTGTCAAATTGAAGAATATTAATAGAAGCAAAAATGAAATAATATGAATAAATTTGCAGGACATACGTATAGAAATAACAATGATGATTTTACAGTAATTATTATTCTATTGAAGATTAAAGTTAAAAATTGGGCATCCTGTTTACATTTTATAATCAATGCAGAAGATTTATGCAAATTGAAGTTTAAGACGAATTAGCATTATTTACCTAAGGGAAGAAGAAATGAAGTGTTCGAATTATTTATTACAGTATAAGGACATACAGAGAAAATCCTCTTAATTTTTACTTAAATAACATTTTTTTTTTAATTTTCTTTATTATTTTAGCTGTTTTAAAGATTGTCTAGTTAATTGTAAACAGTTCTTTTGCCCAATTTCAATCTTATTTTTATTTCCTTAAGTTAAAATTCATTCTTAGAAAAACTCTGCCAATTTATTGTTCAAATTTTTAGTAGAGAAGTTTGAAATGTAAACATTAAAAAATTTTGTGCTACTTATTGTTTTGTTAAGTTTCATTTAAATGTATTTTTATACAGAAAATTTTAATAACAAAGAATTTTAAAATATTAATGTGTATTTCAGACATTCGTTGCAATATTTTTTACAGGAAATTTCTTTTAAATGCATAAAAGTGCTGCTAACTTTTTGTTCTTTGGGTGCAACATAATGCTTACGTAGTATAGATTGAGATGCCTAAAAAAGATTTATTCTTTTCTTTAGAATTTGAAATAAATAAAAAATTTCCCCATGTACGACTTAAAGAAAATTTTTCAAGATTAAAAAAATTACCAGCTAGCATAAGCATTAATAGAAAAACAGTACAATGAGATAAACTAGATAAAAATAAATTACTAAAAAAGAGGCAGACAATTTTGGAACATTTGAAAGTTAGATTTTTTGTTGTTGTTAAGATTGCTTTATTTATATTTTAAGATGTGTACTTATCTGCTACGAGAATTCAAATTATACAAGTCGATTTATGTTCTAAATAAGTCATTTTTTATACATATTCAGTAATTAGGTAAAGGGCATACACATATTTTAGGTTATTAAATATAAATAATACTTTTGAATAGTAGAACTTAGCTGTGCACGCTGAAAATCAGCTGCTAATCGCTTAACTTCATCCCAATCAGCAGACATGTTTTGTTTTCGTAAACGTCAGCAAGAGATAAATTGTTTCTTACTGCAGTTTTCAGATTTTTTTTTACGGTTGAAATATGAAGTTGAAGTATTTGATTGGATTTTAAGGTACCGTTCCCACTGCATTCAATCTATTTGCCTGCTCTACTTCCGTTTAGAAAGCTTACAGCTGCTTATTACAGCCTATTTTACGAAACGATATTTTCAAATACTAGATAATTTTGTTTTTAGTAAAAGAAGATAAATTATATAATTTCTGAGTTCATATTTGCTGTATTTCATAAGATAGGGATATTGAGTACTTTTGAGGAGTTTTAAGTGAAAATTTGTTTCAGTTATAGTATTATTAAAAAAAGTGAACAGGTTTCTCTAATTGGAAAGAACTCGCTTTTTTGGCAGGCCCGATTTGGCCTCTTTTTACTTTTGTTCTAGACAAATATTTAGAAACATTTTCATGCCTACACTAGTTTTCTGAGTCTTAGTGAAAAATCGAATTCAAACAAGTAGACATCGACTGTGAAATTCTCCCTACTTACAAGAATAAGTGCTTTTATCTGATATACATTTGTTTTCCTTCATTACCCTTGAGAATTGAGACTCAGAGTGTGTTCTTTGACGCTCAATTTTTATTAAACTGCTGATCCCCCCTTTTGCTGCCGCTCACCGACCCTGATGATTGCCTCGCAATAATTATTCCTTAAAAGAAAAATGTTTATATTCTAAAGTTAAAATTATTCATTTACATATACTTACTAAAAGTTCTTCCGTTTGCTTACGCTTCACTGTGGACCAGAAAACTATGATCTTTGGCCAAAAGTAAAAAATTAATTCTTCGACTAAAATATGTGTAGACAGTTTTAATATAGCCCAAAATAAGCATTCATAATGATTCCAAACATTATAATTTACTTTTTGGACCGACGAGAGTACAATTTAATGAAAAATAGGTTAAAAAAACTGTTTTAATTGTAACTTTTAAATTTTTATTTCAGAAATATATATATAGGAATTTCACCTTACTGTTACATTTTTATCAGAGTAATTAATCTGAAATTATAGTACAATTTTTCCGTTTGTTGGATTAGTTAATACTCTTGGCAAACTTATAGTTTATATCTCATCATTTGACATTTTACAATGTTTGAGTGACTTTCGAAAATTAGTTCCAAAAAATTCCACGAGGTAATTAGCTGAACTTTTTTTTTTTTTGCTGTCTTTGATGTTTCTTTCGAAAAAAACCTGCCCCATTTTGTCCGTATTGCAAAGATTCACTAAATATACCGAAAAGCAAAAATTATGTTTGCTTTTCATGTTTTCGCGTTATTTCATAATTCGCGTTATTTTCTAATATTATTTCAGAAATATAATTAGCTTTTCATTTTAATATAAAATTACGAAAAATATTATATTTTCATTGATATATTTAATTATTTAAAAGTGCTATATTTTTACTCGTCATATTTCAGCCGCCTTTTTGTTTTTGGGGGCATTTTTAATGTATTTCAAAATTTAAACAATGAATTCAATTTACCTGCACATAAAAACCTCTAAATACAAATTTTGAAACAAATTTTATCGAAATACTTATTTTGGCCACGAAACCTTGGATGCTGGCCCACTGTGCGCTTGTGCCTCCACTTCCATGTCCAAATATTATGTATTAGTATCTATAAATATTTAGATCTATTGGTGAACAGAAGTACTTTCTCCAAGTAATCATTTTTTAAACTAACATTTATATTGTTCAAACATTATATTGCAAATTTTAATTCACAACCGTAATTTAATATTTTCGCTTACCAAACTGGCGGATATGTTAAATACCAATTTTGCTTGCATCACATTGTGTATGAAGCTGATCGTTAGGTTCTAAATCATTTAAAAAAATCTCTAACGGTGATTTATAACAATATATTAATGTTTGCACAAAAATAATTTTAAAACTCTTAAGATTAAGACACTTTTTCAATAAACTTTATTTTAAAATGTAGTCCAGAATTGCGCTGAAATAATAAAAGAAATCAATTCTCTTAGTTTTAAATTCTTGAATTAAAAGTGTAATAATAGCAGTAGAGAAAAATACATCTTAAATTAGGTATACAAACATATTTATAGAAAAACAATACCTTTTGACTTTTTATGCTGATAACAATATGGAAATGAGTGAGGAAAAACTGCATCCTACCACGTGATTTTTCCTGCCAATAAAAGTGCACCGACAACAGTGGAAAACTGTGTCAAAAAATTATGTTATATAGATATATTTCATACCTTTTAATTGTATTAAGTTCAAAACGAATGGAAATATATTAAGCATTTTAATTTTTTATTATAAAATACAGAATGACACAGCACTTTTTGCTACTGTAAAAGTAAAATGTTTAACCCGCGGCTCACTTTCATTTACAAACTTGCTTTTTTTTGCAGTTAATTAGATCGAAGAAACAGTTATTCATCATTGAAATTTATGTAATAAATAAAATCAAATTTTTGAGGTATGAAATTTTTTTTAATTTGGATTTTTTGCTTTAGTATCAAGTACCGATAAAATCTAACAGATTTTTTAGTAACTATTAATTTTTTTAGAATCAAAAATACCAAAAAATATTTTTACTTGTAATTAGAGAGCTTGAAAAATATATAAGAGGGATACCGGTGTTCCGTCTACGTCAAAGGTTAAAGAATTTTTCTCACTGTGTATTAGTTGGTTAACGAAATAAACTAAATTCCGTTTCTTTATCTAATTTTATTCATTGAAAGCTCTTTTGAAACTAGTTACCAAATTTAAAAAGTTTTTATTTAAATGAGATTAATAGTTTCTTAAATTTTAAAGCAATTTAAAAACTTTCAAACTTAAACTTCAAAAAGTTAAGTTTTATGAATAGGTTAAATAGAACAAAATTTAAGGAATAAAATCAACTGTTCAAATGGTTTACTTAGTTTCTTCAGAATTCTTATTTTCCAAATGCTGAAGGGCTGGAAAGAGACCTTGTCAAAACCTTTATTAAATTTCAGTTTTAATTTTCCATTATTACGCGAACGTAATATTTTAGTTATATAAATTCTCCATTATGATAAGTAATCTACTGACTAAAGTGTACACATTTCCAATAAAATTAATAAAGTGTTTTTAATTCTTTGAAGGAGAATTTTTATTAAACATGTCGTACTATAACTTACACTTATTTGAAGTTGATTAGATCTAAGAAATAGTAATTTATCACTGAAGTTTCCTTAATTAACAAAATCAAACTTTTGACTACAAATTAAAAAAAATTAAAACTGCTCTTTGGATTATATATTTCAATATAGATTTCAGATTATTTAGTTAAGATTAGACTTATTTTATGATTAAATATACCGGTATATATTTTTACTCTCAATTAAAGTGTCAAAAATATATAAAAGGGAAACTGGCTCATCTGCGTTAAAGGTTAAGGAATTTTTCTCATTGCGTATTAGTATAAACTAAATTCTGTTATTTTACGTAATTCTTTTTATTAATTGAAAGATCTTTAAAGTTTTTGCATTCAAAGATTAGACTAATAAAGGTTACTTACAATTTAATTTAAAAACTTGCAAAAAAATTTTTGAGTAAAATTTTGTGACTAGGTTCAATAGAGCAAAATTTAAAGAATTAAATTAACTGCTCAAATGGTTCCCCTAATTTGATCAGAATTTTCCAAATGCCAAGGTGGAGGCCAGAAATCTTTTTAAAACAATTATTAAATATCAATCATAATTTTCCGATATTACAGGTTGTTCAATATCTCAGAAATATAGCGCCTACTTGGCATATTTGTCTTGGCATCCTCGCCACCGTTTCTTGTAACCAGTGTTTCCAGATAGGGCTACAAGTAGCGGATTGGGCTACTTTTAAAAGTCCCCGCTGCTGAAAATCGAATTTGGGCTACCCGCTATTTTTTGGGATACTCATTATTTTTCAAACGCTACGAATCGTAAAAATGCGCTACTTTTTTTTCTTACAGAAATATTTTTTTTTTTTTAATTTTTTCCCGTTCCCATTATAAAATGATTCCGAAAAGTGTGCAGTTTCTTTACCTTTTTTAAAAATAAAATTTTTTATTGTTGAAAACGCATATGCTTCAGTTGTGGATTCATGATTTGTTTTGCTGCTGGGAGTCTATTATCTTTCCATATCTATGTTTCGAATCGCAAGCTCGTGAAAGCGAAAGGATATATGGGTGATTCTTTGGAAACATGACAATTCGGAGAAACAAAATTTCTTCAAATTTAAAGTCTTCAAAATAATTTTTTTTTTGTATGTTTATTTAGTTACATTTATTAATATCTTACAGACGGCTGTGGTTTATTGACATTTTCTGAAGAAAAAAATAAATAGAAACTCACCAAATTTTGAATGCCAGGAAAATGACTAAAAGGTCAGTAAAATGACATTTGCTTAGAAGTTAAGAAAACAGTCATTTTAAGCTAATAGTAAGTAACACAACTTAAAAAACTAAAAAAAAAAAATTTAAGAAGTTAATTTTAACTTTTTTATGTAAATAAAATCCAAAAATAATTATTGGGAAAAATTTTAATAAATGCTTTAAATACAATGAAAGTTAGAGAGCACACCCAATGAGTTAGTTTTTAATTTTTCAACACTTTAATTTGCAAAGAAACAGTTAAAACAAAGAAAACAAAAAAAAATTTGTAAAATTTCATTAATCTTGAAGCTTTCAGANCATAAAAGTGGTGCTAACTTTTTGTTCTTTGGGTGAAACATAATGCTTACGTAGTATAGATTGAGATGTCTAAAAAGATTTATTCTTTTCTTAAGAATTTGAAATAAATAAAAAATTTCCTCTCGTACGACTTAAAGAAAATTCTTCAAGATTCAAAAAATTACCAGCTAGCATAAGCATTAATGGAAAAACAGTACAGTGAGATAAACTAGATAAAAATAAATTACTAAAAAAGAGGCAGACAATTTTGAAACACTTGAAAGTTAGATTTTTTGTTGTTGTTGAGATTGCTTTATTTATATTTTAAGCTGTGTACTTATCTGCTACGAGAATTCAAATTATACAAGTCATCTTATGTTCTAAATAAGTTATTC